CTGTACCAGGAGATGCCAGAGTCGAAGAAAAAGAAAAAATTACAAAATATTACAAAATTACAAAATATTGTGACCTGGCCATCAAAACTGCACAATTATGGATGAAACATGTAACAGTGATACCCATTGTCATAGGGGCACTGGGAACTATGTCCAAAAACCTTGCAAAATATTTCAAGAAACTGCAGTTTCCTGCAATAACTCCAGCAATGCTACAAAAAACCTGTGCTACTCGGAACATATTACATTTTAAGGATGTGCCTAGTTGATACCTAGGATGGTGGCAGCAACCCGTGTCAACCAACAGCGCCAGTCAATTTGAATGTTCAGTTGACTGAAGTTCATGTCTAAGATTTGTCTGGTATGATCTGTTTTTGACATGTTGGCTTTTGGCAATGACTTTGTTTGTCTCTAGGTGTTCGCGGATTCGTTGTTTGATTATCTTTTTCAGAATCTTCCCAGGATTGAGGTTAGGCTGATAGGTCTATAGATTCCTGGATCCATTTTTTTTCCTTTTTTGAAGAACTACATCAGGTCCTCTGGTAGTTCCAGTTCTCTGGTAGTTCTCTGGTGCTCCAGGATCTTTGAAAGATATAGTTCAGTGGTTCTGAGATCACATCTGCCAGTTCCTTCAGAACCTTGGGGTGTACTCCATCTGGTCCTGGTGATTTGAACTCATCTAGGGTAGACAGATGCTCACTTACCATTCTCTTGCCTATCTTAACTTGTGTTTCTAATCTGTTTTTTAAAGTACTGTTTTTGATAGGTTGGGCTGTTTTTCCCTTTGTGTAAAGACGGATGCAAAAAGCAAGTTAAGTAGTTCTGCTTTCTCCCTGTTGCTTGTCACCTTCTTGCCACTTTCTCCCACTAACGGACCAATCATTTTAACTTTTTTCTTCTTTTTTTACATGTTGAAAGCAGCTTTTTTGTTATTTTTGACTTCTGTCACAAGCCTTAGTTCATTTTTAGTTTTAGCATTCCTCACTTCATCTTTGCAGGCTAGCACTATTTGCTGATATTCTGCCTTAGTTATGTACCCCTCTTTCCACTTTTTATACTTTTCCTTTTTGTCTTTCAATTTATCAGAGGTTTTTTTTAGACAGCCATGCTGGTTTCTTTTGAGAGTTGTTAGTGCTAGACTGGGCTTTTATAATCTCACTTTTCAAAATTTTCTAAGCTTTTTGACTTATTTTCCCCTTAGAATAAATAGAGCTAGAAGGGATCTTGGAGGTCTTCTAGTCCAGCCCCCTGCTCAAGCAGGAGGACCTATACCCTCTCAGACAGATGATTGTCCAGTCTCTTTTTAAAAACTTCCAGCGATGGAGTGCTCACGATTTTGGGGTGTAAGCTGTTCCACTGGTTGATTGTCCTCACTGTCAGGATTTTTCTGCTTAATTCCAGGTTGCTTCTGTCTTTGATCAGCTTCCAACCATTGTTTCTCGTCATTCCATCTGGTGATCTGGTGAACAACCTGACCCCACTTGAGAATCCTTGAGGAATTAGCTCTCTTAAAGTCCAAGACTCTAGTTTGACTGTGTTCTATTGCTTGTGCTTGCATATTGTTGAATTCCAATATTGTATGATCATTCCCCCAAGATTCCTGTGGCTTCAATACCTTCTATCTTTTCATCTCTGTTAGTGAGAATTAAGTCCAATATGGCTGATCCCTTAGTTCCCTTCTCTACTTTTGGGGAGACAAAACTGTCTGCTAGGTTTGTCAGGAATCTGTTTGATCTTCCACTTGGTGCAGAGTTTGTCTCCCAGTTGATGTCAGGGTAATTAAAGTCCCCCATTACTATTGTGATGTGCTTCCTACATACCTTAGTTAAGTGACTAGCAAAAAGTTCATCTATTTCCTCAGTTTGGTTGGGTGGCCTATAGCATATAGCTACGGCAATATCATTTTTCCCCTTTTATATGCATTCAAGACAGTTTTCATCATTGTTGTGCTCTATTTCTGTCTTCATGGAAATATGTAAGAGCTGAATGTAAGAGCTGTTGCCAAGGAAAAAGGGGCTGAAGTAGTTTTTAAGTCTACAACTGGAAGGTAACATTCAGAAGCAACTCAGGCAGACATTGAACTATGAAGATAAGGAATAGGTACAGCATAATTACACTTGCAAGATTCTGTTATTATAGCCAGTTTCAATAAATGTAGTTTAGCCTTCCTATGGAGTTGATTTCCTGGTCTGGTCTACCTAGTGGAACTGGCACTAATTAGAGGAACTGTTAGCCAGTAGAACAAGCTGTAGTTCTTCATTGGAGGTTTTCAAACAATGGTTGGATGCTCATTTATCAGAGATGCTTTATGAGATCCTGCTCTGATCAGGAGATTGGACTAAATGACCCTAGCTCCATGACTGAATGCTTCCCTGGTGCTATAAATGTGCTGAATCAAATAGCCTATTAAATTATCATAATGTACTCTACCTTGGTGGTTCATTAAAATAAGTTCAGCATAATACTGCCTTAAACCTGAACTCTGTATCTTTGAACTTTTTCTACTCCTTGTGGGAAAAGTGGTTTAGGGTAAGGGGTATTTTGCAGGGAATAATTTATTTTTATAAGGGCACCTTGGCTCAGTGGTTAAAGGATCTCAGCTTGTCAGCTGGAAAGCTGACAGCCCAGGTTCAAAACCAGAGAACTGTGCAACAGGTTGAGTTTGCTCCAGCTCCTGCCCACCTAGCAGTTCTAAAGCATGCAAATGTAAGTAGATAAACAGGTACCACTTCAGTGGAAAGTTACAGCATTTTGTGTGCCCCGGCATATAGTCATGCTGGCCACATGATTATGAAAATGTGTTTGGATAACACTATCTCCCTCAGCTAAGAAACAGAGAAGAGCACTGCCCACTAGAGTCAGACATGATTTGACAGGGAAAACCTTTACTTTTTAAATTTCTTTTTATTACTTCATGGAAGAAACTAGAATAAGGAATCCCTGCTGAGTATGTACACAGAATAAAAATAGAAATGTAAGAAAGCCACCTCCACCTCTTTCTTCTCCCCTCCATCACTAACTATATCACTATTCTCCTCAGATACAGTTAGTTCTCTTTCATTCATCTCCAACCCAAATAATCTGAACAACTGAAAGGGACATGTGGCTCTGCACTAACTCTGCCCCATTTGATCAATAGTAGGCAAGAACTAATAAATTGCTCTGATACCAATACCAATCCAATCTATTCAAAGAGTGTGTCTCCTAAACTGGATCAAGGATTGTTCAGTAATGATGAATGGTAGGTTTAAGAAAGAAACACTTCTTCACACTAAACATTCCTAACAAATAATGTAACTTTTACAATACACACTTAAAATCACCACTATAGATTTAAATAGATTTCAAAGTGGGTTCAATTTCATTTCAATATTTGACAAAATTACAGAAAAGTAGTGGAAATTTATAGTGACCTCTATAATTTACTGCTGGAAAATAATGTACAGTTAAAACATTTTATTCTTTCCTGCAGAAATACTATTTTTCATAATTAAATCTACAGTTAAAACAAGCTATGGGTGTTTAAAGTTGTACTAAAATCAAATGTAGTTCTATTTCACTTTTTCCTTTTCCCCTTGCTCTTGCCCTATGTTCTTTCATTTATGTTGGTTTTTAAATTTTTCTGAGTGGTTGGCAAGAAAAGACAGAAAGGAATGGTGTTAAAATATGCTGAATTACTCTGATTCTCACTATTTGGAGAGCATTTGAGTTTAGAACACAGATTGGAGACTCTAATGAAAATATCTATGTTACAAATGTGAAATAAAGTCTGAGTTACAAGTCAGAAATAATGTCATGCATGAAAATAATAGGATTCCCCACCCCCCCAAATATAGCTATAGATGCTAGGGTTGAATATTACTTTACATTACACTGGGGCAAAAAAGTGCTTCAGAACACATGAGACATGCATTTAACACCTGTCTGAAAATTCCTAAAGCAGCCATGTCTTTTCTTGGCCCCATGTGGAAATACACATGGAAAAATATATTTGGAACCAATATATTGGGAATTGCCATTGAATCAAAGCAATGCATAGCTGTAATGGTCTTTTCTGAACCTGAGAAAAAGGATAAGGTTTTTGAAAACACCACAAATTCAGAACATCTGGAGATCATTCCTTTATCTAATCAGTGGTTAGTTAAATTTCCTGCTCATCAAATGGCTGTTAGCAACTTAACAAAAGCTCTGCTCTATGCATATTCAGAAATAAATGTGATCCTAAAATATTTCATTGTCAGGATTTATATAACAATATGCTGTCCTTCCCCATCCAATAAAGAATGTAATTGGCTATCAAATTTTGGATAACAATCCTAATTGATAATATGCTGATGTGGGTCAGGTGAAGAGATGACAATTAATGAACCCTGACTAGACTGATATTATTATTAGACTATATTATGCCTGTCACACTTTAGCATAGATTGTGCTCAGCACAATCTATGTTTTAATTAAAGTATAGGGAACCTGAAGTCTATTGGCGTTCAGAAAATCCAAATCCAGAGACTCTAGCAATCAAAATGCCTCATTGGGACTCATGTTTATCCCACAATATTCTGTAGTATCTGTAACATTCTTCATTCCTATACCCCACTTCTCCCACTTCTCGCAAGTCAGTTTTCTATATCTATCTAACCATACACATTGAAAGGTATGAAGAAATAGCAGGATTCAGATATCATTTCTTTCGGTCTGTATGAAGCTAAAACAGTCAGTTAGCTTTTCTTGCCAAGTTTTCAGTACAAAGTTTCAAAAATGCATGGCTTCCATTGATAAAGCAACATCCATGCACTAGAAATATAAATACATAATGGCTATCTGGTAAGAATATAGCATATTACATTTTTCAACTGAAACTGAATGACAAGCCAAAAGAACTTAAATAGGTGCAGGAAATATATTTTTAATTTTCCGGTTTATAGTCTAAGATAAAATGTTTCTGTATTTCTAGCAAAGCAGCATTGTAAAACTAGTTAAAAAAACAATTTGAAACTCACAGGGATGAGTCCTAAATGTCATATTGAGAAAATGGATAGTTGGTCACTATATTCAAAAGGCCTAAAGAAATAAAAAAAATGCAGATATTATACTTTTTTTTGCGTCTGGAATATAAATGATAAGACTAACAAGAACTGCATACTTAACTGAATGCCCAGTTTTAACAACAGACATCATCCTTCAAAGAATCAGTGTTTCGATTTTCAGCATATTGATGGAATTATAATTTATGCAGAACACATTTCCCAGGTGTTCTGACCAAGATAGTAAATGGAAAACATCATATATATGACATACTGCTTTCCATTAACCCCCTGGCACCAGCAATTTCATCCCACCCATTTACTAAAGACTAATCCATTTTTCTCTTGGTACTTAGCATTCAAATAAAAATTCTCAACTTTTGATGCCAAAATATGTATATAGTTTTTAGAAGAAGAAAGGCATGTGGTAGTTTTGATCCTTTGCTAACAATACGTCTTATTATACCAAATTAATGACAAATATGCTTTTAAACTAAAACATTTTTCAGGTTATTGCATCAGAGCTCCTCCTCTCAAAGAAAGATAATGCATTCTTTGATTCATATAGTTCAAGAGCTGGATTTATCCTGATCCCTATGTTTGCCTTGCTTCTCTGCCTTGGTAGTCTTTGTTGCCTATTTATCTTATCTTATGCAGCTTCCCTTTACATAACCTTACCTCATAGTGTCCCTGGCCATGCCATCAACCTCTCTGTGCATGAAATATATCTTTGACTTCCTATCCTTCCCTGTTCCAAGAGGTAAAACAGAAAAGCTCTGCATCCTTTTCATTCTTTAGAAGAAATCAACTTTCAGAGGCATTGAGCTAACTAGTATGGAAGGAAGGACATACAAAAGCTTCTAGTGTTAGAAGCTAACACTAGAGTTCCCTCTAGGTCAGTGGTTCTCAACCTTTTTAATGCGCGACCCCCAACCGGTCGTAAGTCGAGGACTACTCAACCGGTCGTAAGTCAAGGACTACTCAACTGGTGCAGTACCATTTGCAGAATGGGACTTTTGGCGGGCTCAGCAGGGCAGAGACAGCCTGGACAATTCCTATTGGCTTTTGAAAGCCAATAGAATTAGACTCTATTCAAGAGAGTCTATTCTACTGGCTTTCAAAAGCCAATAGAATAAAAGGGAGTAGCACAGCTAAGGAAAAGGAGAAAAAAATGGCGGACTGCGTTGTTTGGCGACCCCCGTGAAATGGTCGTTCGACCCCAAATGGAGTCCCGACCCACAGGTTGAGAACCACTGCTCTAGGTGGAAATTTCTGAGTCAGGATTAGTCATTTCATGTCTAGCAGTGTCATGGAAACTATATGCACAGAAAGTTATTCAATACTTTGAAATATTAAGTAATGCAAGTGAATTTTGTTTCAAACAGGGATAAGCATTAGCAGCATCTATTTTCAACTGAGTGTTTAATTTGTGCTTATATACCTTTCTATAGTATGACCTGAACATGGTGAATTCTGTATCAATAACTACATTGGAATGCCTCTGTTCTATTTTGTATCATTAGATATTTTGCACAACCACAGGGTGATAAAGCACACAATAGTCTAAATCAGCGGTTCTCAACCTATGGGTCGTGACCCCATTTGGGGTCGATCAACCATTTCTTGGGGGTCGCCAAACAAGGCGATCCGCCATTTTCCCCCCTCGGGGGGCCGGCGCCGCGCATGTGTGCCGCGCATGGGGGCAGCGCCTCGCATGGGGGTGGCACCGCGCATGGGGGTGGCGCCGCACATGGGGGCAGCGCCGCGCCGCACATGGGGGGGGGCGCTACGCATGCGCGGCACATTTGTGTGACGGGGGTCGCCGTCACACAAACGTTGAGAAGCACTGGTCTAAATATATGAGCTCTTATGAATTTAGAGATGATAGTATCAGTATAAGAATAAAAATTTGTCAGAAGCCCTTTCGATACATAACCACTCTTCAAATAGATATAGATATATCTATAATAGATATAATGAAGCATCATCATCAAGGTGCAGTACAAGTCACAATAATTATGAACTTCCATACAATAAAATAGTTCACATGTGAGAAGCCAAGCCAGCAAAAAGCTATTAACACAACGTCTATCTATACTAAGCCATTCGACAAATAGAGGTATTTAAAGCCATTTTACATACCATCAAAGTTTTTCAGAGTTGAAGGAACTATTGGAACTGATTCCAGATTCATGAGTCCACAACTCTTGACAAGCTGAAACCTGGAGACTTCAGCACAGGTGTCAAGAACAAAAATAAGGAACTTCTCCTAGGAAAATAAAGAGCAATCAGGACCATACAGAGAAATAAGGAATGACTGACATTCTAAACACAAGCACAAGTAGTTTAGTTCCAGCTCTAAATAGGCAACCAATGAGCAGCACCCTGTTTTAATGAGATATAAAAATAGCATGGAAGATCCAAAACAGCAGCACTACTCTAGATTAAATCAGGAAAGCAACAGAGAACTCAAGGACACTTGATAGAAAACTATTGCAGTAAACTAGGTTTGGAAGAAGGAAAGCACTAATAAAGCCCTTCATAAAATTAGCCTAAATGATCAATGTGTACTTTATAAGGAAAAGGGAAAATACAAAGAGATGGCTTCTAAGTGAGGTTCTATGGAGCACTAGACATCTCCAAAGGATAAGTGATGGCTCTGCAATATAAACAGTGACCAGCAGTTATTTCTGCTGGTGAAGTCTTTCTGGATAAAGGAGAAAGCAAGAAATTGCCCGTCTGTGCCCTGGATAACTGTTCTTTGAGAGAGAAACTTGAGGTTTTCTCATGAGTGAAGTGGCTGGGGACCATGTGAAAGATATTTTGCTCTCACTTGCAATGTGCAATCTTTTAAAGGACACTAAGTTCAATCAAACCTTCGCCAGAAGTTTTATTGCTTGGATTAATGGACAGCCAATTAGAAAAGAGCCATGGAAGATCTTGTTAAGATTGCATGACTATTATATGAACAAAAATTTTGATGGAAAGTTGTGAAGCAGATGGCAGACTGCACCTTCCTGTTTACCTTCTGCAACTCTGGAATGTAATTTAAAACATATTAGCAATTCCACCCAGAAAAAATAAAAATAAAAACCCTTTAGATCTTTGTCCAAATAAGTTCTAAGCTGAATGCAATCATTTGGAAATTAGGAGCACTAATAATAATTAAGTGAGACTATGAGGAGAAGTGCCAATAACCATAAATAAATCGGAAACTAATGTTGCTGCATTTTAAATCACCAAACCAAATAGAATCCACTAAAAGATTTGCAAAAGTTCAGTTTGGCCATTATTTGAACTACAACAGTAGTTCAGGTGGTTGAAAAGTTTTAAAAATAGTCTTTCTCAATCAAATCATGATTGAAAATTAGTCACCAAAGAGAAAACCTACTCTTTAAAGAATGTTTAACCATCAAATTATATCCCAATTTATACCCAGAGCAGAAGCATTGAAATGAGCAGTGTGGTGGCCTACTAGTGAAGACGCTCACCTCCCACTTGGAAGTTTCAGAGTTCAGATGTTTCTCTCTCCTAGGGCAAAAAGAAAAAAAAAATCTGCTGCGAACTCATGTGGGTGTCAGGAAGGGCATCTGTCCAGTAAACACTCAGCTCCGTCCAGTCACCCCAACTCTAACCTACTAAGGCATTACAGGGTCGTAAAAAAGGGAGTTAGCAGAAGCATTGAAATGATTTTTTAATATAGTCTAATAGATTCTTACTTACAAAACTTTTAGTGTTTATCCAGCTCATGGTGGATTGCCACAAAATGATAAAATAATGGGCCTGATCTTGTGATCCCAGATTGCTCTAGGCATGTATCTTAGTTATTTTTCTGCCTTCCTTTCTCTTCATCTTCCAGTTATTATTTGCACATTCCATCTCCAATCCTGGAAAGTATTGTCTATTAATAAAGGGTACAGTGGGTTGAAAAAACTGCAGTTGCTTTGTTCTTTCCAGACCAAACTCAGAAGATTGGCAGGTCACAATACAAAGCTAAATAAGACCAGATGGGGGAAGCAGATATCATGCAAGAAAGCTGAGCCAGTATTATGTGGCTATTTCTTACTATTGATTAGCTGTTATTTCCAAATGCTCCCATTCTTTGGCTGATTCACCTTCTTTCAAACTGTGCCACTGAAGTAGTGGCAAATGAGGAAAAGATCTGGTAACACAGAACCATCCCTTGCTACAGCAAGAAGTCTGTTTACTTCCAAGGAAGGAATGGAATATTGTAAGAAAACTGAGAAATTAGCCCCTAGTAAGGAAATGAACTAGACGACCCAAGAGGATTTTCTTTCTGATGCCTATAATTCTGTAATTACAAAGAGCCAGAGCTTCTCAATGCCCACTTGGAGGGGTTAATTAGACATTCAGACTGAGATCATGGTATATCAGCAAATGCTAATTCTTCTTCATCTCGACATACGGTTATGTATCCTCTTTTTTTACCCTGAAGTGGCTATTTTCCCCACAAAGATATAAAAATTACATATTCCCTCAATATGTGGCAATTTGTAATACTCTGATGGTTTTTGGATCCTATTAAAAAAATCACAAGTACTATGCTTGCATTAGTTCTGGTCTGATATGAGTAGCTATTGATTTAATGGAAGATATAGAGGATAATCTTCTTGCTATTTTGTACTTTGTTTTCTCAGAAGGCCTCGGAACCACTCCAGCACTGATTTGGAACTATCAGGATACACCAAAGACTAAGGAAAGAATAAAGAATGTAGAGTTAGTATAATTATTTTTTTAAGTAGGATAGAAATTACAGAAGAAAATACTTAACCCATAATTAAAATGTGAACATAGCATATTATAGATGTACATTCACAAACAACTCCTATCAAGTTCAGAAAGACCGCATCCTGGGAACAGGAATATAGATTGCAAATTAGCAAAGTATAGAGAGAACTATATCACTCCTTAGAAGACAATGGAGTATGTGCCCAATTGATACATCTATTATAATGTTCAGAATACACAGACCCTTCTGCAATTAATAGATCTGTTTGCTCGGATTCTCAGAAAAGGCATTGTTATGTTACTGATAAAGCATATCCATATTTTTAAGTAATAAAACAAAACAACATTTCTACAATAACATTTCTACAGGGCAAAAATGGGGATCATTGGCTTCTACTTGTCCCTACCCCACTGCAAATGTAACCTCCTTTCCTGCTCCAAATAGAAAGTAATATTTTACAACTTGTGCCAATTAAAGAGTCCTTGTCCAGTTTGCTTACTAGATCTCATTTTCTTTCAGAAAACCTCTGCACCTTGCCTATCTATTGCATGGCGGCAGGAATTTCACTTAATAATTTTTCAAGCTTTGCCCCAATTAGATCTCCTAGCAGAAATATATTTTCAGGAAATTACCTAAGCTACCTACTTTTTTGATTGCAGGAGTGTGAGTGTGTGTATATATAATTGTATATACTGTATACACACATCCAGTCATCTAGAGGACTATTTCATATTTTCCAGTCCTGCAAGATAGAAAAGTTTCATCTAAGCACCAAGTAATACAAATGTAGAGGAGAGGGGGAGTGTCCTGTATCAGGTTTCAAGTTCACACACACACATACACACACACACACAATTGCTATATAAGAATGGCAATTTACTGAAAGCTAAGTAAATAACTAGCAGACAAGAAAAGGAACATAAATTAGAGCAGAGTCACTGGGAAAAAAAGTTTTTCTGGGTAGTTTTCCTTTAAATGGGAATATAGGAGGAGAAATCAAAATTCAGTCCACAGAACCACTGAGTTTTGTCAGCCAGTCCAACCTTCAGAGTTTCAGGATTTCTTGTTTTTATTATAAAGAATAAAATACAAAGCAATAAAACAAGCAAAATGAAACAAAACAAAAGCATACATTCAATCCTAACAACAACAAAAAAGAAAAAAAGTCTCCTGAGGTTGACATGCTACTGGTTCAGTTGCAGAAGCTTTTACAAAGTTTATGCCTAGACTGATAGGAAAGGATGTAACAACTCCTCCAAATGTCCAAGTACAGAAAAAATATTGTGAACCCTCAGAAACCACATATATAGATTTTCTCCATGACAATCTATCTGTAACATGGTCTTTCAGAATTTCGAATGGTGCACTCATAGCCATTGTAACTGAATCCATCCATCTTGCTACTGGCCTTCCTCTTCTCTTTCCTACTATCCCGACATTAGAGCATTCCCTAGAAAAATAGGTCTTTTCATAATGTGTCTGAAATAGGATAATTTGAACCTGATCATTTGTGCCTTAAATGAAAATACGGGTTAATTTTTTGATGATATATTTGTTCATTTTCAGAAGTCCAAAAGCATCTATATTCTTTCTCTCCTGATTTTTCAAAGTCCAACTTTTGCTTCCATGGAGTATCATAGGGAATACCATTGCTTGCACAATTATAATCTTTGCAAGCATAGACACATCATAGCATTTGAATATATTTCAAGTGCTAGTCTGAAGCATGTTTCTTGACTGCTTGTTTCTTTACTGTTTATAGTTAATCCTAAAGGCCAGAAGCTCTTTATTTGGGGGGGGAGAGACCTTGGGTGGAGCACTGTGGTGCATTCGATCATGATTAGCTCAAGGCTGAACTCAACTTTCCGTACTTCCAAGTTGGATAAAATGAAGATTTAGATTGTTGGGGGCAATATGCTGACATTGTAATGGCTCAGAGAATGCTGTAAAGCATTATGGAGTACTAAATAAGTCTAAGTACTATTGCTGATATTCGGTCATAAGAAAAAGGAAAGAGTGAGGAAACAAACTCAAAATAACCATGTCATGTTTTATTTATTTGTACACTATAGTATAAAATGGGGCAGAGAATAATAAATGGGGAAAAATAATTACTGTTCTCAGGAAAAAGAGAGATTGCTTTCATGATGCAAGCTCTTGAACTCCACGTTAAGTTCTTCGACAAATATTAGCCAATCTTCCATTCTCTTTCATCCTAAACACCTGCCAGCTTTCAAAATAATTACCTGATTAATTAACTTTCATAACAACATATTAGTTTAGAAATGTGTATTCATTTTCTCTCTGTGACAACCCTTGGTGTTCTTAATATTTACTTATTTCGCATGCCTTGTTCTTTCTGTCAAGAACTCATTACAATGCATACAATGGCCAGCAGACACCAAACCCAGGCAGTTAATAGAGTACAGATTTATTTAACTACAAAAGTGGCGTTCTGTTATTATTCCATTCCATTTCTAACACTATTGGAAACATAAAAAAGAAAATAATAAAATTTGTCCCTCTACTGTAGCCATTTTCACCTATCACAGAGCTTATCTCTGTATCCAAGCAATGCAAGCAATTCTCCTACACCATTGCTTGTATAATGACATTGCATTCCATGCATCTAAAAAGCATTTTCAGGGGCAGGTGTAATGTCCAAGGGTTTTACTTGAATGAGAATTCTGCACTATCAGGGATCTTTTCAATGGCATCCATTTTAAGACATGAACAAGTTCATATTGCAGCATGCAATCCCTGGACCAAAACTATTTAATACTTGACAGATTAGTAGACACAGTCAAGGCTTTTTTTCTCATAGAACGCCCAGAACGGAGTTCCACCACCTTTTTGGGATGGAACCTTGTAAAGTAGGCAAGGCAGGTTGTATGACATGTGTGAGTTCTGGCACCTTTTTTTTTTCTTTTTAGAAAAAAAGTCCTTTGTGGATTTCCTGGCTGGTTCATCTAATGTCATTTTAAGAGGGCTTTAAAATATTTGCTTTCTTTGCCTTTAATTGCAGATTTGGTTGTAAATGCTGATCCATTACTTGGCTCACTGAAATATTGGATTGTTTTGCCTCAGATAGGATTTCACTGAAACTGGCTTATTCTAAATTTGATGTCTAAATATAAGGGATAGCATGGTATTTATAGCATAATTAATCTTGAGAAGCAAATGGGATTGAGCATCGTTAACAAACATATTAAATATAGATAAATAAATTTATTACAATATTCTGCAGCTGATGCCAAACTGGTACCTTCCAAATGTGTTACTTTTCACCACCCAAAATGTCAATGAATAGCCAAAGTTAATTCTGCATTAAAAAAATCTTAATATTTAATGTTACAACTTTACTTGTTTTCTCTAATTTACATATTGTACATTAATAACAACCATTGTAGTTATAAAGTTGATAAAAGGACATTTTCCTTCATGCTTCCCACACAACAAATATAGCAGGAAATGGACAAAAGCTGGCTTTTCAGTCAGTTCCTTTATGTATTATTGGATATAATTCATAAACATTAAGCCAACTAGAGAAAAATGCATTAAGTATCATTGAGAATGTATAATTGCTAACTGATGTTTCTAAATTTATCATTCTTTACAAAGGCATGCTAACATCTAAATTATATTAAGTCAGCAACAGATAAGAAAGCCTATTTATAAAATAATTTATAACTCTAGTTCAAGAAATCATTCCAGACTTATGACCTTATTCAAACATTTTCTTATGTATTTATATGATTTATGTCCCACTTTTCTCCTTATA